TGCAAGCAAAGCAAACCAAGGAGTTCATTCACCACTTCCCATTGGCAGGCAGGTGTTCGCCTGTCCCCAGGAAAGCAGGGCTCCATCATGCATAATGGTTATTAAGAAGACAGGCACCATGACTCCAAACATCTCCCCTCCTTCCTTATTCTTTCCCCAGCTATAATATATTTGAGCCATATGGTCTGGGCTACCCTGTAGTCATTTGGGGTCAGCTGCCCTGGCTGTGTCCCCTCCCAGCCTCTTGTGCACCCCCAGCCTGATCACTGGTGATGTGGTGTGAGAGGCAAAAAAGGCCTTGACACTGTGTAAGCACTCCTCAGCAGTTACTAAAACATCCCTGGGTTATCAATGCTGTTTCCATCACAAATCCAAAACACAGCCCCATATGAGATACTATGAAGAAAATTAACTTTATCCCAGACAAAATAGCATACCTGTCCATCACCCCATATTCTCTTGCTCATGAATATGAGAGTCTTTAGTGTTCTCCCAGCGTAAGAAGAGGAATTTTTTAAGTCCTTGAGTTTTGCAGACTGTAACTATGCTTCCCACCTCATTGTAACGCATTTCTGTGACATGGTGTCGTAAATTGCATGTTATGTTTTCCCTTTTTTTCTGAGAAAAAGTAGGTTCTTCTGTTCCTTTTTGCTGACTGTTGACAGGCATCTCATGAACGTACTGATATTTTTCTTAGAATTTAAATTCAGGAGATGAAAGAACTTCACAACAGAGGTGTTCAGTGCCTATGTGCCTCACTTGTGTTGCAGAACCCACAGTTCTAATTTATATATATAAGCACTTACGTATGACTTTTTGAATAAAATATGGGATGAGCTATGTATCTGATTATAGTAGTTACAAAGACAGTATCTGCAGTGTGAATAGCCTAAATCAGGCAGCAAAACCAAATTGACTGGAAACTTAAATGCTGTAGCTTGGTAGGTCAAGCTCTGTCTTGCACAGATGAGTGTGGAAAGCATATCATTTGATCCTTTCTTTCAAAATTATGCTAGTAGCAATGGCTGCCTCCTTTTGATCTAAAATGTAGGGTTAGAATACAGGTCTTGGATGTAGAATATCAATTAAATTCCTTTTTCTGTCTGAGTACGTTAAAATACACATCCCCTTTTTCCTTTGGAATGGTAACATTATAAGCATTTAAGGTATTTGAAAGTACTGCTACTCAGGTTTTTCTGTTCCTGTGTGTTCTACCAATTAGAATAAGAAGCTGTGCACTCTTTAGTACTTTGTGTCAGGCCTACTGAAGCTTTAAATATTTCATGCAAAATGGAAAAGCTTCAACAGCAAGAGATGAGAAGAACTGCCTGCAGCAAGGTTCCCAAACTCACCTGTATGGCAATAGGTTCGTTGCATTATCCTGGACTGCAGCAACAGGACTGCTTTGTAAACCAAACATAAAGCACTTCTGTATCATTGGCTGTCATCATACTGTAGGTTGAAAACTCATCTAACCAATCTGCCAGTGTGGGAAATGTGAATTTGAATCCTGTTAGGCGGAGACAAAGATTGATGGTCTGCTACTGACAGATGTACATTTTGTGCTGCTGGGTGAAAGGCAAACTCTGTCCCTGCATAGAGCCCGGTTAGCAGACTTTGAGTTTGGGACACCTAGTAAGAAGTTATGTTTGCAACTTGCCCCTTTAGGATTTATGTTTGAGGTGGGCCTGAAGGGGCTTAGCTCTGTCAAGAGGAAAGTACATTGAGCATAACCAGCAAGAGACTTACTAGAGAGCTGTGCTCACAAAAATATCTTTGTGTTTTGCAGGTGTGGGTCTAATTTGTAGTGAGGCTTAAAGACCAATTTTCATTACTTGAAAAAAACTGGGAAGCCTCAAGGTCTGAAATAAAAGCACTAAGCTTTAAGCAAAGGACAGGTTCAGCGTAATCGCTTTGACTTAAATTACGTTAATAAGCTAGGAAACAAAAGTGTGAATGGTACTTAGTCAGCAGAGTGTGATGTAAGTTCAGTGTGGTATTAAAGGTATTTTTACTTGTTTGTTTCTAGATCAGACTATTTCAACAGTATTTTTCAAGTTTGATTGAGGTGTCAGGTGCTAGAAATAGGATTAAGCATCAGTGGTTAGTATCACATGAACTTAGGAAATATTTTGTCTTTCTGGGATAGTCACTGATTTAAAAATAAAGTCTAGGAAATGAGTGAGAAGCTAGTAAGACTCTCCAGCTCCTTCATGGGGAAAAGCATGTTTTCTTTCAAATGGTGTAGAAGACAAGCTGTTAACTGAAAAAGTGGTTTATTTATTATGCCAGCTAATACAGGACATTGTTCCATTATTCTGAAAACCGTAAAAAATTTGGAAAGCAGGCAGAAGAACCCATTTTGCATACATCTTGCATGTTGGAAACAGTTGGGTGTCAAAAGCGTAGAATAATTTTCTGTGGCTTATTTTCAAGTTACCTTGCACATAATGATGTTAATTCTCAGCTGAGCAGTTTGGAGAACAGTGATACTAATTAATGAGCTCAGTGCTAACCCTTCCTTTCACTTCACCTCTTCATTTTTCTTGGGAAACTGAATTCAAGGCAGTTGCTGACCATTTATGTCAAGTGTTCCAAATTCTCTTGTCCTTGCTCAACAGACTGATGCACACCAATAAATGCTGTTTGTCACTTTTTTCTTTTCACATCATGTTTCTGAAACATGTAATGTGTTTCACATCATGTTTCTGAATCATAGACTAGATTTTGGTTCTTTGACCCAGAAGTTGCATGGAGGCTTTTCCAACTTGGGGGGAGATAATTTCTGTGGGTCTGAAACACGATTTTTGCCTATGTAGCCTGAAGTGAGATTTCAGAGCAGATCAAATCGTAAAAATGAAGGAATTTGGTTGTGACGATTTATCAATGGATGTTTATAAATAACGCAAGTTTGGTTCTGAGACAACACTGAGTAGAGGAAGTAATTTCATTTAGTAGATGATATGGTTGTTCGGAAGCAGCTCTTTTCTTGCCTGGGAAAAAGGAAGTGCTGAAGTGGCAATGTATAGAGAGGCAGGTGGAAGCATGTGGGAATTTGTTAGCTGGAGGAACAACACACAGCTGGGCTGTGGATAAATAGGGCTTCTCAAATACAAATGGAATTAACTCGTGTGGAATTGTGACTGTCTATCTAGTGAGGTTATTATTTAACAAAATTTAAGGATATTCTCTGCTGCCATCAATGGCAGTCCTACTGTCTTTATTGGTACTGTATAGGTACAGTTGAGGAAAACCTTTTCCTGAGTGCAGTAAGGTTTCTCTTACAACTTGATCAGCATTCATCAATTGAACAGATTGCCTACTTGCGTGCTGTCTGTGGTAGTGCCTTGATGTTTAGGCTTGGGGGTGGTCTGACATTCTTGCTTTTACTGCAGTTTGAAGAAATGACAATAAATGAAAGCTTAAATCTGTAATTAAAAAAAGTGATTTATAAAAACTTTTTCAAAATCCATATTGAGATACTTCTTTTCATCTGTTATGCTGAGCACTCACCAATATACAAACACAACGTGCGTTTTAGAAGAGAGTAACTAATTATCCCCTCACCTACCTGTGCTATGTTATCACAGATTCTATAACCTGAAGTGTAGTTTTAGAATTAGTAAATGCCAAATATTGTTTTATTGAAATAGAATAAAGGTTAATTACAGCATCTCAAATCACCTGTGAAGTTATGCATTTAAGCTGATTTAAATTTACGCTGATACCATTAAGGATGGTTTTATTTTCTTCTCCACCAGCTCCTTGAGTGCTCATTTGCACTACTGCTTTGCACCAGGATCAGCATTGGTCCAGTTGCATCATTTACTGGATCAGAAATCTGGCTGGAAAGTCATTTTGTTTGGTTTTGATGGGACTGAATTTCAGCCACATGAAGTTTTGATCTAGTTGTCAATGTTATCCACCTAAGGAAGGACACAGAGTTGGACTTCTCCTTTTAGTGTCAGTGTGGTCTTACCTGAACTGATTATGGAATATTATCTTTAGTTTTGAAAAGCTATTCTTAGGCCAGAACACAAAAGGTGAAGCACACAGTCTGAAGTATGATCCTTATAAAGAAAATGGGGTTGGACTGCCTTTATGTACCATTCTATATAACCACAGTAATCTTTAACGTTTCTAAAAGAGGTTAAAGATAAATAACTGTATTACAAATACTGTCTCCTGTCTATTGTCTTTTCATAGAATCACAGCATAGATGAAGTTGTTAGAGACCTCTGGAGATCAGCTGGTCCAGCCTCTGTGCTCACGCAGGGCTACCTAGAACCAGTTGCCCAGGACCATTTCCAGGCAGCTTTTAGTATTTCCAAGGAATTTAACATAAGAAGTGTCATAAATATGTTCTTGAAGTAATACTTAAACCCAGATCTTTTAACATATTTTCATAAATATTTGAGTGAAATATGAAGTACTTGTATTTATGTCAAACATTAATTTGGCAACATCTTTGTTTATAGACCTTAACAGTGTGTTTCCTGTGTCAAGCTTGATAATAGGTTATAACTAACTAGTCCTAGTGAATGTTGGAAGTAGCTTTATTGCAGACACTGATTTATAATACAAAGGTAGGCCCCAGGAATCAGTCTATGTTACTTGTTCACATTTAGACTAAATTGTAAGCACATCTTAAGGGAGTAGAGATGTGTCAGTCTGTGTATCTTATTCCTGGTCATCAGGTCTTTGTTTAGAGTGTTAGTACTTGTCTGTTACTGTCTTAATACTTTTGTCAAGAAGGAAACAAATGTTTATCCCTGTATTATCCCACTATGTAAATCCACAGCATTCACAGTCACTGGGAACTGAAGTTTCTGTTGTGTGACCCAGTCCCACCTCAGTTCTGCTTTAAAAAAAAAAAGCTGGACTGTTGGTGTGGCAGTCTCCTCTTGCTTGGTAGCTCAGGAGGACTGACGTGGCTCATACTGTTCTCTATATTTCTTCAGTGGAAAGAATCTTCTGATTTTATTTATTTGTTCTTTTAGCATATGCAGATGACTATTCAGGCTCTCCAAGATGAGCTGCGGATCCAGAGGGACCTGAACCAGCTGTTCCAGCAGGACAGCAGCACTAGAACCAGTGAGCCCTTTGTGGCAGAGCTGACAGAGGAAAACTTCCAACGACTTCATGCAGAGCACGAACGCCAGGCCAAGGAACTCTTCCTGCTACGTAAAACCTTAGAAGAGATGGAACTGCGTATTGAGACACAGAAACAGACCTTAAATGCACGTGACGAGTCCATCAAAAAGCTGCTGGAGATGCTGCAGAGTAAAGGTCTGTCAGCAAAAGCCACTGAGGAAGATCATGAACGAACAAGACGGTTGGCTGAGGCAGAGATGCATGTGCACCACTTGGAGAGCCTTCTCGAGCAGAAGGAAAAAGAAAACAACATGCTGAGAGAGGTAGGTGACCAAGCTCTGGGTTCATCTCCAATCTTAAGCTGTTCTCTGTCTCTTCTCCGTTTCACAACTGTAAAGAAAAAGTCTTCTGTCCTCTCTGTGAGCTGTATTTTTACGTTGCAAAATTGACAGAATTTGTCCCTGTTGTTTTAAAACTTCTTCAAGGCTTCCTTGTGTGTGCTTTCTGGGGTTTTGTGATTTAGGACCACTTTTCCTGTAGTCTCTGTATGAAGTTCTGGAGGTGAATTGTCACACAGACTGTAAAATTCATTGTTTCATTCAGTTGTAGTTTGACAGAAAGTAGCTACCTGTATTGAGGTGAAAACTGAGAGAAATCCTTGCAGGAGTAATGGATGATTGCCCTATGGTTTCCATGGAAGCAGTCATCTTGCTGTGAAGGGTATTTGATAAAACTATTAGCTGCCCTGGATGCACAGCCAAAAAAAAGATTACTTAAAGGGACACTGCTGCACACACAGTAACTCCTTCCTTCATCCCTCTGAAAACAGAAAAGAAAAAACATTGTTATATCTGTATTGCACCTTAGAGGAGTACAATAGCAGACATTCTTCACTATTGATCATCCTGAAATAATGATAATAAAATATAGGCTAAATGTAATGCAAGTATCTCATAAAAATAAAGGATTTTTTGCGTAGCCAGCATAAATTTCTTGATATTGTTAAATGTATTTTACTCTTATCAACTAGCCTCCTAAAGTATTCTAATATTAACTTCTAAAAAGCTAGTAATTCAGCATGTATTGTGTACATACACAGGTATGTATGTATAAGCGTGTATTCACTAATGGTAAAATTTTCTGTAAAGGTTATTACATCTGTAGATTGAATGCATGAATTGATAGCTGTGCATCTATGCATAATATGTGTGTGTATGAATCTGATGGCCTGTTTTGGGCATTGTAAGTCTACTTCATGGCTCAACATTTTTTGAAAGCCTGACAGGAATTAAGCCCCCTCCCTCAGAAGGCAGGGAAGCGAGGTCAGGCACAGGGTTTTTTGAGATGAGTATTTGCAACACATCAATCACAGAATCATAGACTGGTTTGGGTTGGAAGGTACCTTAAAGATCATCCATTTTCAACCCCCTGCCATGGTCAGGGACACCTTCCAGTAGACCAGGTTGCTCCAAGCCCTGTCCAACCTGACCTTGAGCACTGCCAGGGATGAGACATCCAGAACTTCTCTGAGCAACCTGGTCTGGCGCCTCACCACCCTCATAATGAAGAACTTCCTAATATCTAATCTAAATCAACTCTCTTTCAGTTTAAAGCCATTCCCACTACAGGCCCTTGTAACAAGTCCATCTCAAGCTTTCTTGTGCCCTTCTTTTTGTACTGGAACAAAATAAATACTTCTTAATACCCCTTATTCATATGTTTTACATGCCCTGACCCATTGTACTTGTGCTCTTGCAAGCATTTATATAAGAAAAACTAGGGCCCATTACATTTCTGAGCCAGATTTAGGCCAGATTTATTTTTTTTTAGAGCAGTAATCTCTTGAGTGTCTGGAGTGAAGATAATATGGTTCCAGAGTTTCTACACTAGTTTTTCCTTTATTTAGCAACCAATGATAATTCTGTTCCAATTCTTGTATCTATTTCAGGAAGTGCCCCAAATGGCTTCCATTTGTTTCTGCTTTAAGTCCAGCAACATAAATGAAAAGCTGGCAGCAGCTGTGTAATTTTTTAGGAATGCTCTTACATTTGTTTCTGTTACTGATGAGTAGATATTGAGAGATAAGAATTCTTGTTTCATTCACACATATCTGGAAATCATCAGTCGTTTAAATCCTAGCCTTTGTGGTGTAAAATTCCCTGGAGAAGGTAGAGATGAGTTAGTGAGTTTGAAAGTGGAAGTGTTGTCTGTCTAACACTTTAAAATTAATTAATCCTCGATGCTGACCCAGTTCTAATGCATTGAGAAGGGTAAGCTGGACATGCTGTAATTTGTAGCTTAAGCCATTGATACAGTGCGGGATCCAGCCTTAAAGCTGAGCACCCTAGTAGTATCGAAAACTTGGTGCCATGTGCAGAGATACCAAATTATCTCCTTATGGAATTCGGTCACATCAGAAAGGGTTTGGTTAGTACACTTGTACTGTCCTTGAGCTCTGAGCTAGACTGATTTAACTAAAGTCAGTCTTGTCTGCATGGAGCTCATGTCTCACGCTTGAGGGTCCAGGAGGTTGGAGAAAATCAGGGGATGTTTCTGGACTGTAGCTGACTGCATCTAACATCATGAGCACCAAGCTGCTCTGCTCTGCAGGGTCTGGTTCAGAGTAGTTATCCCTGTTCCACAATTGGAAGTTGTCTCTGTGCAGAACCTCTTACGTGTGTCTGTGTCACCCTCCTCAAGCTAATCTTCTGTGTTTATCTGTATTTCCATAGTGCTAGGTTATTTTAGCCTTTGCTGCACCAGATACGAACTGTGGAATTTTTGAGCTGCCTTGAACTCAATCTACTTTCTTGATGGTTCTATATCTAGCATTCTCCGTATCTAGAAAGGCATGCTAAACTCTTCTTTAAATACTCATTTTAAAGGAAGCGTTAGTATCTCAAAGGGATTTTCATGTGCTTGGGAGGTCAGCGATTATACTTCATGTTCTAACACATTAGAAAAACTGAGAAGAACTTTAATAGTATTTTGACCATCTTTGGTAAAGCAAGTTCTGAGATGTCAGAATCCGCTAGTACTGTTTCTGACTTTATGAGTGTGCTAGACTTCTGGTAAAATTATTTTCTGGGAATAATAATAAAGATTTGCATCTCGAAGCAAAAAGCCACCCATCTGTTTTTTGTACTTTGAAGCCTGCACGTAATTCAAAGCATGATGTTGAGACTCAAGGTCATCAGATGATTTCTCAGACGGACAGTACAGGTGTAGGGGCCAGCAGTCTGGCCTTGAAAATTAAATGTGAATTCACTGATTTCTGCAGGTATCACTTTACTGTGATTGTACTAAAGATTGCACTAATTTCCTAAGGAAAAGAAATTCTTAGAGAGCACACACTTGTGGTTCTAAGATTATAACCAAGGAACAGCTGTATTGGTTCAGGTCAATGATCCTTTTGGTCCAGCATTCTCTTTCAGCTAATGGCCATATGCAGGCACCCAGGAAGGGGTAAGAACAAGTCAAGCACAATACATCTCTGTAGTGCTCTCCCATCTCCCAAACTCTTTACAGATGGGAGTTTTCTTGAACTTTTTATGGTTTGTCAGTTTAGTATCTTCTGTGCCATCTGAGTATGCAGTCAGTGTCTTCTTGAGCCATGTAAGCTTTTGCAGCTGCAGCATCATTTGGTAAGTGGTTTTACAGGCCTACTCTGTTGCAGGAAGAACACTGTCTCATTTATTTTAAATTTGAACCTGTCTCCCAGTAGCTTCCTTTGCAAGGCAGTTGCTCTGGCACTGGAAGACATGGGGAATGGATGGTCGCCAGCAAGACCATGTGCCACTCATAATTTTAGATTTGTCGTATCTCCTCCAAGTTTTCTCTTTTTCCAGACTGAAATGTCCAATGCTACTCAAATTTTTGTATAGAAGATAGTGCATCTCTCTGATCATCTCCCAGAGCACTGTCTCAGTCTCCCATATCCAGGTTATGAAATGGATTCTCCTGCAGTTAGTGAGAGCAATTTGATGCTTTTGGGCTTTTCCAGAATGTCCTGAATTCTGGGGAACTCAAGCAATCTTTCCTTACAAGTCCATAGCAAAGATCCTGTAACCAGTATAGGATGTATTTGCCAACTCACTGGTAGAGAGGACAGTCTCTCATTAACACAAAATAATGAGAAATTAGATGTTTCATTGAACATCTGAACACAGACATGAATCTGTATGCCCTGGCTTCAGCAGATGATAGTGTGACTGCATCACATTCCTCTAACCTAGGAAACAAGCTTCAGCTTCATAGCTTATAAAAAGATGGTTGCTAATTTTGAATACCTCCTCTTAAGTCTTAGTGAAAATGATTAATAGTACTGTTGGTATTCTAAACTTAACTTTCAGAAACAAAATTACTCTCATACCAGCAAGAAATGCTTGATGAAATTCAGCAACTGGACTACAGCTTCCAGAATAGCTTCCAAGTTACATTAACTGCCACCTTATTGTTCCAGACTCACCTGTTGCAAGATTATCACTGATGGCAGTGACAGCACATAGCTCTCAAGATACTGAAGCTTGCTGTGCTCTTTTTGACAACCTCCCTGCTCTCTCCCTTCATTTTAATGCAGTGAATAGAGATACATTTTTCTCAGCTTAACAGAGTAATAGACCAAAATTCGGTGCAAGTTATGGCATATGGTGTGGATTGTATCCACATCTGGTGTTCTAGATACATGGAGTACTATGGGCAAAGTATGATTTGTAAGGACAGTCCAACATCATTATACCAACTTGGTTAAACCTTTCTCTTCATTTGTTTGTTACTGTCTGTCTTTAGGAATATACTTTTGGAGAAAAAAGCTTAGGCCAAATTTTTCATCTGCCTAGAAGAAAGCAGAAAACCAAAACTATCTGTATCAGTTCTACCCACAGGGAGCAAAAAGAAGCTACTATCTGTCTGTTATTGTCAGGTATTTGCTAAACAGCTTTGGGAGAGTTGTCCTGTTTCCTTACTCCTTCGCAAGACATATCAGCACAGAGTTTACAGCAGTAGTTGTCTGATGACCTGTTTGTATCAGGGCTGCTACTGGACATACATGGTCTGAAAGCTGAATACATCTTCGTTCAGAGCAGTGTGATGGCATATACTAATTGGAGTCTCCAAGATATACTGATATACCACTGCATTTCTCCTGCCCAGGCGGAGATTGACTTTGATGTCTCAAATCATAAGAACTAAGGATGTATGAAGGGAAGTTCCTAAATGTATTCCCTTCTTTTCATTAGCCAGGATGCTTAGTGGTATCTACCCAATATACCTATGAAGCCTTCAATCCCGTCATGTCCTGTGTAACTGAGTCCTGATAGCATAC